GAGTTCAAGTTTTTGTTTTATTTGAAGATTATTGTTTGAATTATTTTTTTAAAAGGGGGCAGATATTAATAAGATTTTTTTCTTCTTTCTGCTACCTTTTTAAAAAGTGGATTTTATTTGATGTATCCCCTTTAAAGGTAATTTAAAATTAAATGGCAGCAATTCATCTACACAATAATCTAATCCAGGTTTCTGTGTCCCTCTGTGATGAACCATGTTTTCTGTGGACAAACATCAGGAAGTAAAGAGAGCAACTGTTGGACTTGTTGTCCCATTCTTCTCTGATGGAAGATCCTAAAGTCCTGGCTCTTCTTTGCTCTTGTTTCATGAAGCATCAAATATTTTCAGATGGTGAGAGGTTCAGGATGCAGCCTCTTCAGCCATGGAGCCATGCTGTTATAATGGATGCAGGATGTGGTTTAACATTGTCTTCCTGAAATATGCGATATTATATACCCATCATCCACATTTCCTTGAGCTGTTTGTGTCCTGTTGATGTAGTAAACAGTAGTTTCATCCATGTGTGTGACATTGAGTCCGAGGTTTTCCTGTAGTCTGTAGGGTTTTGTGTTTTCATCATCTCCCTGTGTGTTTTACCTCCTGTCATTCTCTACTCTGGCCACGCCCACATTACCTGATCCATGTTCTCCTCTGTCCTGTCTCCACTCCCTTGTTGGTTCATTGTGTTTAACACCAGTTTGATTTTGTCCTTCTATGCTCATTTGACTTGTTCTTACCCCATCCTCTTGATGACCTGTTGCAGCTGATTCAATTCATTGCAAAAGACCTGGTTTACTGGAGAKTTTGTCCATTTAGCAGTCAGATTTATGCAGTGTGTGTGTGACGGTCATACCTGAGTCAACAGTGTGCGCAGGGCGAGCAGACGGCCCTGAGAGGCTGCTTCATGAAGAGGAGAGCGATCTGCCCAGGACCCTACACACACACACACACACACACACACACACACACACACACACACACAGAAAGAGAGACACTAACGTTTGTTCTTCTATACTCATGGGGAGTTTGCATTGACTTCCAGTGTCCTGATGCATCTCATTAATCCAGGTAGAAAAAATCAAAATGGTAAATGGACTGAACTTATAGAGCGCTTTTCAAGTCCCTCCGGACCCCCAAAGCGCTTCACACTAACAGACATTCACCCATTCACACTCACATTCACACACTGATGATGGCAAACTACACTGTAGCCACAGCTGCCCTGGGGCACACTGACAGAGGTGGGGCTGCCATGCATCGGCGCCACCGGACCCTCTGACCACATCCATCATCCATCCATCCATCCATCCATCCATCCATCTATCATCCATCCATCATCCATCCATCATCCATCCATCATCCATCCATCATCCATCCATCATCCATCCATCA